GCTTGGTCAGGCCCGGCCCGGCCCGCTAGATGGCCAGGGTATAGTCATGGCCTATAGGGTACATCGCACAACGATGCGAGGAGATCGGTCAGGAGGCCAATAACATCGGGGGCAACACCGAACTGCGCGCTGAATATGAGAGGGCATGAACACCAACGACACTGGATACTGGGGGCACATGAACGTAACGTGACTTGATCAATGTTGTAGCTCCCTTCAAGTTATCCATGTAGCTGCACAGACGTAACAAGAGTTATTTACCCAAAACCATCACAGTTGGGGCTAGGGTAAGAACTTGGTACCATATTTGTGTCAGGGCACATAAACCACCAACTTTGCGCCTAATCTATAACGCTGAGCACTGATTTTCTGGTAAGTTAACAAAAACAATAAAATTGACAAGTTGGTCCCACTTGTTAGGCTGACGTGGCGAAGACCAAAAGCTTTGACTGGGTAATGTGGAAAATGAGACATGGGTCCCACCTATCAATGACTAGAGGGTCATCTTCTACAGAACATTCTATCTATGGGACATTGCATCAAGTACCTTCTCTGCATTCATCCTCTAGACATAGCATGGCATGGCGAGGGAAAGGGGCGAGGGGCTCACCTTGAGCACCAATGCGTGCTCGGACACGATGAGGTAGCAGTGGAGCGACGTCCTCGTCAGCAGCAGCGGGGGACGGAACATGGTGAGGTGGGGAATATGGCTTGGGGACCCGCGGCTTGTCGGCGTTGGCAGCGGAGGCATCAGGAGGACGCGAAGCCTGGGGCTAGAAGTGAGGCACAGAGATTCGTCGGAGCGGGATATTGAGGGCAGTAGTGTGTTGTTGGAGGTGCAGAAGACGACTGCAGCGTGGCCGACTATGGACGTCCGGGTCCAGGTACTCTGGCAGGGTTGCTCAGGGAGGCATTCCAGAGCTCCCAAACAAGGTGGTGGGGCTTGGGATGGTCTCTGACCATGAGAATGGTGGCGACGTGGCGTCCTTTCTGTGGCTTGTTGGAGAGAGGAAGAAAGACAAGATGAGGAAGAAGGGGGTCATGCGGACAACACATGGGACCTACATCCACCTCAGTGAATTTTCCAGATAGGCATGCCATGTCGTCCCGATAGGTAGGTCCTAACTATCGGTTTCGCCGTTTTCGTGAGTAAATTCAACGATCAGTGCTCGGCGTTATAGGTTAGGCACGGAGTTGGTGGTTTTTTGTGCCCTAGCACAAATGTGATACTAAGTTGTTCACTTTAGCTATATGTAAGTCATCTGAAAATTAATTTTGGGTCAGATGATTTTTGGACCATTGGTTTCTGCTCTGAGATTTGTGCTCTGCTATTTTTGTTCGGGCCACTTTTTTGACTGGCCGCATATTTGGGTCAGTCAATTTATTACTGGGCTAAAGCCCATTAACTATATTGTCGAGCCCTCCCTCTCTTCCTTTGTTTCTTTTTATGTTTTTCAGTTTTGATGCATTTCTTCTTTTGTTTTTTATTTTTTTTCTTTATTATTTTTTCTGTCATTGGTATTTTTAGGATGTTGGGTGAGTGTAAATGTATATACACGAATACAACACAATATGTGTGAAAATTACAATATTATACGATTGTTTTTTGTATACTACCAAAAGTGCAATTACACTGAAAAGCTGTGTGCAAGTTTGTTTAACTTTTTTTCATTATCTTCCTTCTTCAAGAGTAATACGAATGACGCCAATTCATTGTTCCTTATAAACTTTGTTACTATTTTCATTTACAGTTATGAATGACGCCAATACATTGTTCCTTGTAAACTTTATTATTATTTTGTATTTGATATTATTTCATTTTCTTTCATTTTAAAAGGTAATACCAATGCCACTACTTCATTCTTTCTTAGAATTTTTTTTGGGAAAAATTGGATCATTATATGTTTATTCTTGCATATTTTAAAAAAGCACAATTTTTGTGTATATTGTGTGCACATGTTTCATTATTTTAGATTCTTTATTTATTTCATCTTAAAGGGTAATACCAATGCAAAAAATTCATTCTTTCTTAGAAAATCTCATTATTTTGATTGTGTTTTATTTTTTATTTCATTTCCGTTCCTCTTAAAGGGTAACACTAATGCCACTAAGTCATTTTTCCTTATAAACTTCAATATTTTTATTTATTAGTATTATATTTTGTTTCTTTTCTAAGGGTAATACCAATGCCGCTAATTCATTGCCTCTTAGAAAATTATGTTTTGCACAGATCCCACTACCATATGCTTATTCTTGCATATTATTCAAAAGCGCAATTTGTTGTCGATGTAGTGTGCAAATTTTGTTATTTTATATTTTTTTTATAATTTATTTCTTCTGAAAAGGTAATCCAAATGCCAATAATTCATTCTTACTTACAAAACTTCTCTATTTTGATTTTTTAGTCTTTATTTCTTCTTTGTTTTGAAAGGGTGATATCAAAACCACTAATTCATTCTTTCTTACAAAGTTTCATTATTATTATTTTGATTTAGTTTTTATTTCATTTTATTTCTTCTTTAATGGTAAAACCAATTTCACTAATCTGCTCCTTCTTAGGAAACTTTCTTTATTTTTGAGAATTCTACTATTGAATGTTCTATTTATTTTTATTAAATATCTTCTTAAAGGGTAATACCAATGCCATTAATTCATTCTTTCTTAGGGAACTTCATTACTTTGATTATGTTCTAGTTTTTATTTCATTTTATTTCTTCTTGAAGGGCAATACCAAAACCACTAATTCATTCTTTCTTAGAAAAACTTTATTACTTTATTTTTATTCATTTTTTATTTTACTTTATTTCCCATTTAATGGCAATTTTGGTGCCACGAATTCATTCTTTCTTAGGAAACTTCCTTATTTGCAAATATTTCACTACTATATGCTTATTATTGCATATTATTAAAAAAACGTAATTTCTGAATAAATTGTGTGCAATTTTTCATTACTGGTCTTTTTCTTTTTCCTTAAAGTGTAATAGCAATGTCGTTAATTCATTTTTTTAGAAAACTTCATTGCTTTTATTTTGTTTTGCTTTTTTGCTAAATTTACGTTCTTCTTTTAAGTGTAATACCAATGTCACTCATTCATCTGTTTATACGAAAATTCTATCATTATATGTTTATTCTTACATATTATAAAAAACAAAATTTCTATGTAAATTGTGTGTCATTATTTTATTTTCATTTTTCTTTCATATTTTAAGGGTAATAACAATGCCACCTTTCTTAGAAAACTTCACTATTTTGATTTTGTTTAAGTTTTACATTATTTTATTTTTACGGTTAATACAAATACTATTTATTCATTCCTTAGAAAATTACTTGTTTTGTGGAAATTTCACTATTCCTTCTTAGGAAAACTACTTTTTTTCTATTCTGGCGGCGGAAGCCATGAGTGTCGACGGTGTTGCTATCCTCTGACGACTTGGCCTGGATATGTCACTGCTGGCGAAAGAAAATACAAGATCACAAACAAGTAGCTGTTGGTGCAACTTGGGGCATGGCGTGTGCATGTGTTACCTCGGATGATTTACAAACCGCATGCAACACCGTGTGGTTACCTTCTTGAATTAAAAATTAGGGGGTTTGTTTCCAGGGACTTTTTTGTGTAGGGACTAGAAAATGTCCCTCTCAAAGACTTTTTTACCAAACGGGAGGGACTTTTCAGGGACTAAACTAGGCATTTGGGACTAAATGAAGAAGACTCTGAAGGAGAGTCTTTTTGGGACTTTTTGGGACTTTTCCAACAATGCCCCTCCATGCATTCATTGGCCCGCCACCCCATGGTGTTGTTTGATTGTTATTTTTCTATATACTAGGGGTAATATGGTCATTTAATAACCTCTAGGAAGGGACTAGGGACTTTTTAGTCTCTGGAAACAAACAAGGAGGGACTTTTTAGGAATTAGGGACTTTTTAGTTGGGACTAGAAAAAAGTCCTAATACTTATGAACCAAACAGGGCCTTACTGGACCATGTGACGAGGATCTGTGTCCATGTCTGCATCCGCCGCCGGCCCACGTCCATCGGCGTAGTAGTTAGTTGCACGTAGTACGCGCACACTCAATCAGGTTCAGGCGGTCAGAGTTGACAGGGGAAAAATGTGACTGGTCCAAATCTTATTTTCAGTTGATTGACACCTAGCCACCCCTCAAGTTGTTACCCCGCCCTAACTGTGATGGTTTTGAGTAAATAACCCATGTAACAATCTGACGTTTAAAAAGAAAATGAATCACAGCTTGGCTCATCGTTTGCCCATGGCTCTGGGGTTTTTAGAACACATGCATCCACACACTTGCATCCCACCTGAAATGCTCCCTATCTACTCCCTCCGTTTCTAAATATATGTCTTTTTAGATATTTAAATATAGACTATATACAAATAAATATAGACGTATTTTAGTATAGATTCACTCATTTTGTTTGGATGTAGTCCGTATTAGAATCTATAATAAGACTTATATTTCGGAGCGGAGGAAGTATGTACGTTTAGCTTAAGCGAAGACTTTGAGCTCGTCACCCGCCGTTGGATACTGTTTGAGTTGGACAGGCTTGTTGCCGCATGCCCACTTGTAGTACGTCGACCGGCTACTTTTCAACTGGAACCAGGAAATCCCCTAAAAGAAAAAAAAAACTGGAACCAGGGAAAGCTGATCTGGGGAACGTCTGTTCCACGTCTAACTGATTTTTCGATTGGTTAACATTCAGATTTACAATCTTCGCAAAATAATAGTAATAATTTATATTTAAAAACTGTAACCAAGCAGTAGAAACAAACTAACGGGCAGCAGGCTGCCGCTGACATGAACAATTAACTTGCAGGCAGCGCCCACACTGGGCAGGGGACACGCATGGGAATGATAGATGAGTAATGCTGCTACATTCAAATTGGTCCGATACAGTTACAAAACAAGGAAGCAGAAACAGCACAATGGGAAGGGAAAAGATAGCCAAACATACAGAAAATTATGAACTGATGAACATTTACTGCACACTTAAACATCAACGGTAGCAGCATCAGTGGTGTTGTCTGACCTGCCGACGATGCCGAGGTGGGTGACCAAAGCCCACAGGAGGGTTATCAGCTCGCCGCCGCGGGCTATCGCCTTCATATGACCGTCGATGTTGTCCGACGGAGCGACATACAGGATCATCTCCGACCAAAACGCAGCCAGGGCCTTCCAAGCTGCCTCCTCCCCTTCTTCAGCCAATTGCTCTGCAAGCCTCGCGCCATCCTTGAGCACCTCATGGTTACGCTCTGCGCTTAGCAACTGAATCAACCTCCTCCGGTACTCAACTTCAGACATCCATGACTCCCTCGAATCATTGCCAATGAGTACACGCTTGGCATCTTTCTCAACGGCCTTGTACAAGCTCTTGCACCATTCAGCATCTTCAGGTAGTAGCTCAGGATAGTGTGCCACCAGGTAGGCGCAATATTGCGATATATGATTTGCAGCAGAGATATGGTCAGTGTCTGATGGAGGTTGATGTGTTGGTAACCTTGCTCCAAGGATTGTGGTAGCAATGTGACACACCAGCATGATTTCAGCTGTACCTCTTTCCCCAAATGTCCAAATGATCTTGTCGTCTCCTTGCAGATGTAGGATCCTTTGGAAAGAGGGCACATCACCATTGATTTGCCCTGTCTCGTAGCATTTTCTCAATGCACCGACAATAGCAGATTTGACTGCACTTGGTATCTTCGTATTTTGGCCTGACAAATGAATGAGATGCCGAAGAAGAGCCATCGGAGTTTTGCTTGGGTGGAGCACCAAAATCAAGGACTGGCCCATTTTGTCCTCCCAATTCCTTATCAACTTGCCTTTGCTCCGTAGCACACAACCAACACATCTCTGGATGGTAGCCGATTGTCGCCAGGAACCATGCTTCACATATTGACATATCAAGGCAACTTTCATCCAGTTAGAGCGGATGTAAAATGCAATGTCCCTCACCTCGGCAAGTATAACTAGTGCAGCAAGTATATACAATGGTATGATATCAAAGTATATACTTCCAAAAGATATTGAATCTGCATCAGAATTAGAAAAAGCATTGCCGTACGCATCACATATAATCTGCCCTATCTCAGATACATTCCCCTGGGCAGCAATAAAAATTATGGCTAACAAGCAGTAACATATGCTTACTAGTGAAATGGAACCACTCACGATTGGCAGCCAACTCTTTGAATATATGATTGGGAGTGATGAATAATAATAGTCATGGAGAAACGAGAGCTCATGTGCAATCACCGCAAGTACTCTTTCACCATCATTATCCTCAAGCAAGATTTGTCGTAAGAAGTTACTGCCCTTGATGAAACCAACCTCAGTAATTGTGTACCTTGCAATTCGACACCGTAGCAGTTTAAATAATGCGAATGAAAAGCATAGTTCTTTCAGCTGTGGTGATTTTGATCTCAGAAGTGTGTCATTCAACTGCCAAACTTTGTCAAAGGTCACTAAGCCCTTGTGGTACATATCATCTCTTAATCTGTAGGACATCGACTTTAATTGGTAGCCACAAGGCTTCTCCTGTATCTGCATGGTGTGCTCTCCAGTAACTATAAGTGGAGGCATATGCTCACTTGCTAGCTGCTCCATGTATCCAACAATAAGACGAGCATTGCGTCCAAAGGCTAATGATTGTGTAGCTATGTACCATGCATAACACTTCAGAACTAATTTGGCAAATATAACACCAAACGGTCCAAGAAGAAATAATATCACCTCAGGTGGGGGACCACTTACAATGCAGATGTGTATCCCTAGGTAGGAGGTCCACATTGCTTGGATAAGTAGCGTCATATTGGGAGGAATGCTTCGACCTTCTCTAGCATCGGCGGCAACTAGTGCAGTGGTATTTATACCAACATTCAGAACAAGAGCCGTCCATATAAGGACATAGATGATGTGTGCTCCTGCACTACAATTCACTACGACTATGGTCTCCGTCCAAATGGTGGTTGACTTGTAATTGTCTAAATCACTGGAAGAGACAATATAAGAGACAATGGGCAGGAACAATGTGGTGGCAGCCAGGAAGAGGAAACGGATCAATGGAATGTGCCGGTAGCGATGGCCATAGGTGCCTATCCCGACCATGAACCCCATCAAGATGCCCATAACCACCATAAGAGCATTGACTCGAAAAATCTGCCCTCTTAGTCTTTCTCCTACCCTCTTGGTGAAGCACTGCCATGGATCACCGGGGCAGTCTTTGTCCATATTTAAGATGTTCAAACCTGAATGTCAAATTTGTACATGAACATGATTAGTACGAGGTTGCTAAGACTTTTCCCGAGAATGAGGGATCAATAATTTATGTCGATTGATGCACATAGACATAAATTATTGATTATTCAGCGACGCCAAGGAAAGCCAAGCATCAATGCGGAACAAATTGGCTTACACGAAAAGAAAAACCCGAGGCATCCAAACTGGCTTACACACGCTCGATCCAATCCCCATCTGGGTTGCTACAGTAAAACCTAAGTGCATCCCCATCCCATTCCCAACAAAACCAAGCCAAACGATAGCAAAGAATGTTATCGGGAGTTTAAACACCAAACCACATGGACATGGGGGAAAGCCGGATGGTACAGGACCTTGACGCGCCAGTCTCCGAGCATCGGCATTGGCATTGCTAGTACGATTCCAATAGGGGGAGGCTCGGAAGGTGGGGCTCACCTCGGGATCTCTCGGTTGAGGCAGGACTCCGGCGAGACGGCGGCGCGACAGCGGGAGCACCCGGGCGGGCGGCGGGGCGGCGGAGACGAGAGAGCGGACGCTGGGGAGTGGGCAATAGCACGTCTCTGTGTCGGAGAAAAACAAGTCAGTCAACGCAAAGAGCCACCAGCTCGCTCCTACAATGGGCCGGGCCTTGCGCATGGGCCCCGATTCTGAAGATACGGCCTTATTTTCATGCACACCTCAGTTATCCCTACAAAATGGAGAAAAACTAGTTGAGGAACGTTTGTCTCAAAAAAAAAAAAAACTAGTTGAGGAACGCTTCTTCGAGAGCCTCCCATCGATCACTTGGGGCACGTATTGCGTTCTGGGCATTTCAGCCGGATTTTTTTCGCACGCTTTTTCAACTTTTTATATGGTTTTTTCCGGGTATTTTTTGTCTTTTTGGTTTTTCATCGGTCTTTCTTAGCTTTTGGACAAAATAAAATCAAACTTTTTATGCAAAAATGTGTTTTTTTGCTTCTGCGAGAGGCATAATTTTGCTTTCGCGATAGGCATATCGGAAACGAAAAAACGTGTTTTTGTTCTTTTTCTTCCGTGAGACACAGTTTTGCTTCCGCACGTGCCTCTCGGAAACGAAAAAAATATTTTCTTTTTTTTTGCTTCCGCGAGAGGCATGATTTTACTTACACGAGAGACACGGCCGCATCTCTCAGAAACGAAAAAACACATTTCTCCTTTTTTTTCTTCTTCCGCAAGGAAACGAAAAAAATGTGTTTTCTATTTTTTTTTACCTTCCGTGAGAGGCACGATTTTGCTTCCACGGGAGGTACGGATTCGCTTCCGCGAGAGGCACGACCGTGCCTCTCAGAAATGGATTTTAGAAAGGAAAAAAAGAACGTGCTCCCGGTTCGGTTTTTTCGTACGGATTTTTTCATGAAAAGATTCATCAAAACCTATCAACATTGGATCTACTTTTGAAGATCTCCACGGAGGAATCCAATGGTGAAAACGGTTCGAGATTTGAACGCACGGTTTAAGAGATAAAATATTTTGAATAAAACAGATATAAGAAAAAAAAAGAAAAAAACTTACAGGTTGCGACGCGCCACTTGTCGCAACCTGATAAGATGAAACTGATCATTGGAAGGACTACTCCTTAATTAATGATTTCGTACAAAATGCCTCAATTTTGAACGGCTCAAACCTAAATATTTTTGTTTTGGTTTGCTCCAAACATTACAAAAATGCTGACTAAGTTGGATAGCGAAGGAGAGATGCTTGTGGCTGATCCAGTGAGGAAGTCGCCCCCGCAAAAAAAAGAGTAGTCGTCGGAGTCGGACGGAGGGCTCGCTACATCGCGACTCGGGATGAGCTGGTGCACTCAAACGGCAGAGGGGACAATCCTGCGTTGATGAATGGCAGCGCGGTGTCTCCCTCAAATTGTCCCTGGACGCAGCGGTGGGCGAGTTCTTGCGTCGGCACGGGTTCATGACAGAGGAAGGCTCGCTTCTCACAATATACTAATAATCCTACACCTACGAACGGCATCAAGAGATGCTATGTCGAATATGGAAGGAGTTGTTGATCTTCAAACAAGCATAAACTGAAAATGGAAGCATGCAATGGCCATCCTTATTTTGTTTAGTAACTTTTTCGCGAGACAAAATCATCACTATTGGAATCAATATTTGTAGCATGTAGACCTCAAAAGTCAGAAAAAATGAGGCAAAATTGGATCTTGTCATTCTTGTGGTGTATTGATCTGCTCATGAGGTGTATAAAGTGGAGTTTCTATCAGAATTGCTTCTTTATGTAATGATATTTTCACTTCACAGCGAACACCCTAAAGTTTTTGTTTTCTTGCAAACAAGGCCAAAATTTGTCCGGGACATTTTCTTGTTCATTCGTTCATTAACCCTCCAATTCAACAAGAATGAAGTTGTCTTGTTCATCCCAAAATTTCATTCATGCACTCCAAGTCGATACCCTGGATGAAGCTTAATCCATTCCATACCATCATCCTCCCAAATCATTTCCACCACCACGACAAACAAAATAAGCTCATGGATGAATCTAACAGCTTCCAACACTCACTGCCATCCATCATACCGCTCCCGTCATTCTTTAGTCCGAATGGTCACAACTCGTCAAACAGCCCTTCCTTGTGTTGAATACAAAAGGAGCTAAGAGCTTGCACCCAGCAAAATAGCCACCCATCCGGCAGCACCCCACACCACCAGGAATCTATCACACTCACCAGCAACCCAATTATGAGCAAGCGGCACTACAAGCTTCATACATCTCCGGGTCCAGAACACTACCTGGGCAGAGAGAAAGAACAATATTAACTAGTGACCTCAACCCATAAATAAAGGACAAACCAGATGGAGAATTAAAAAATTGAGTGCTACCGGAGCACATGTAATTATTAACCTCAATTTGAAGAAACAGTTACCAAGTAAACGAATCCTTCATCTATTAGACTAAGAACAGAACTATATAATGGGGATCAGACTGTTATCTATTCAAACAGTTAATAATCAACAAAATTCTTTTTTAGGATGCTCATATGCAAACCCCGAAATTAACAAGCTTGATTTTAGTAGATTTCAGAAATCTGAATTTGAGAGATTACTGGATGTCAGGTTCAAGCATTAGATCAAGGCCAACCCGCTCTTCTGCTTGCCTGCATGTATTGTCGCTTCAGATCAAGAAAAGCGCTGCGCTGGCTGTAGCACCGCCTCTCCCCCCTGCCGCCACCAACGCCATGCGGCTTTGCCGATGGCGAGGAGAGAGGTGATGGGAGGTGGCCCGAATCGCCAAGGACGACGCGGGGGCAGCTCCGCTAAGTTCAGATCGTGAGGGATCGAGGTCTTTGGTTCTGACT